TCTCCCTGGGGAATATTGTGCAAAAAAATTGCTTACCGCGTAAATTCATTTCCAGGATGATAGATCAAAATAACACAACATGACTTCACATTAGACTATATATAGTAAAAGTTTAAACGAGGTATGATAATATTCATTGCTTTACTGAGCATGACAATGCTGAAAGTTTAAACTTAACCCTGAATTATGAATAAAAATATTTATTAAAATCTCATAAAAAACTAAAATACAAATAATTATGCATTGCGTAATGATTAATGGTATGTTAAAATTGATGATATACACATATCCTGTAAGGCCATAGACTCTTTTTCTACTTATAACATGAAATATAATTTACACAGCAGAAAAAGAAAAGCAAAATTTAAAGACAGTGGTAATCTACTGATCTACGGAAAAAAATTTAAAAAAAAGAAAAGAGAACAACACTAAATAGCATATAAAATTTCATTAAAATGGCTGATAAAAGTCCAATTAATGTTTTATGCATTAGGCCCATGCACATGAATATAAAATTTACTGTAATTATTTAAAACAAGAACACACAATTGTGATATAATATCTTTTTAATCAATAATTTAAGTTTTCAACCTGGACGAGTAAAATAGCTCTCCCTGTTCTTCGAATAGTTGAGGTAAAAATCATATGCAATGCATTTACATTAAAATCTAATTACAGTTTATCACATACATGTATTTAACATGGAAAACATTCTCTTTTGGCTTTTCTATTCACACACCTAAGTTGAATAGTAAGAGCATAATTATAAAATTCTGTTAAAATGACCTAATGTCATGAAATCTAAGGAAGGTTTGCGTCTTGAGAAACTTGTACCAGTGTTAGTTTGGTCAAACTCGTTGCAAGACAAGATGGTTTACACAAAAATGTTAACAAATACATGGCGGACATCCATCCAAACAAAATATACAAAGAGATATTCAAACTGAAAACTATTTACATCAAAATTACAGAACAATAAAATATAACTAGAAATGAAGAAAGGAAAAAGTTACCGGTACTCAATATGACATTTCATGCATGTCTACATATATGTATATACATATGATTATTTGATTGATATAACATGTATAACATGTCCAATTATCTTAATTATCAACATGGCACTGACAATTGTCCCCTAGATATTCTACACTTGAAAATGTTAATGCGTCCATCTCTAATGTTTTAGCCATAAACTGCTGTTATAAAGTTACAAAGATGTAAGCCAGTCTATCCCCTTGCATCTCATTGGTTAATTATAAATTCAAAATTTCAAACAGTCTCTCTCCTTGAAATTCATTGATAAATTCAAATGAATATTCTTAAATCAGCCAAAACGATACTTGGTATTAAGACTGGTTTACAAACTAGCTTTATTAAACTTTAAAACTTTATGTGTTTCATCCTGTTCTGTTGGTTAATTAGGTTATCCCAATACTTCTGGAATAGTGAATGCACCAAAACTGATCTTTCCTGAAATTAACAAAAGGTTTAACTAAGTTTAAAATGTACTTAAAAATATGTACAAATTTTCTATTTTGTTTTCAAATCATCTAAACATAACACTTATTCTTCACTATTAAATGAAGGCTTTATTTAACTGTAAATTGTTTCCAGCATTGTCTGGCATCACAGTAGAAGTTCAAACCTTGGTGACTGCTATCAGTCCTTTAGCAAAAACCAAAACACTATTGAATACCTCAATAAAACTCAAACCAAACCAAATATAAGGCATCCCAGTAAAAACTTAAACCTAAGCACTGATAGACAGATAAGGCATATTAGTGGAACCAAGCATCCATGTTCTATTGCAGTGTTCAGTAGAACCACTAATCTTCCAAGAGCAAACTGGATAAATTCTTAACATTTTAAAAGAACAGTAAATTCTTACCTCATTTTTGTTTAGTCTTTTATGGAAACTGATGTACTTTGATTGTCATTTAAATGCGTATTTTTTAAAAACAATATCCCAACAGCCAGAAAATTTACAGCCCGACATTCGTTTTAAACGGGTGAGAAAATACAAGTTTTTCAAATTTTTCAGGTTAAAAAATAAAACCCGAATCAAAAGTTTTAAACCCTACTTAGAAAATTTTTTATTTAAAAACTTTATTGGGCCCAAAAATAAAAAGGCTGCTGAAATCCTGTCCCAAAAGGGATAAAAAAATATGAAAAACAAAAAATTACTTTTCTCTTTTAAATCCTTTTCCAAAATTTTTAAAAAAAACGAACAAGGGTTCCCCATAGTAAACCCAACAATACGCCACGCCCTTGGGAATTAAAAAACAAAAGAAAATGATTTCAGTAGATTGTAAAAAAAGTGCAAAACACCCAAATTTTTTTTATTTTAGTTTACAAGATGTGACCCTAAGGGGGCCGAAAATAATTCCCAAATTAAATAAGGGCTCTACATTTTTCCCCATAAAACCCTTACCAAGTTTTTAGTAAATATCTCATTCCTTTAAACCCAAATTTAAAGTACTCTGTAAAACCCTTAACCTGAGCAACTGACTGCAAAATTTTTTCTTTATACCCCCCTGCCCAAAAATTTTTGAGGGTTTTAAATATTACAATGCCAACCAAAATTTTTTTAAACCCCGTAATGAAAATTGTACCCCCCAAATATAATCAAAATTTAAAAAAAGTTTTTCCAAAACCCGTTTTTGGGTTTGAAAATTTCTTACCCCAAAAGATGACAAAGGGAAATCAGTGTTTTTTCTGAGGTATCTTTTTGGGATTTTTAAAAACCTTTTAAAAACTGAAAAAAAGGAAAAATTAAAAAAAATTTAAGCTTTTTGTAACTAAAAAGGTGACTGGTAAAAAAGATTTTAATAGGGGGGATTAAGGGTTTTAGTAAAAGGTTTTGAATGTAACACAAAAAATTAACATTTTATTCACCTGTATTAAAAATATTAAATATAACTTAATAATAAGACCTACAAAACAACCTACAAAACATATGTAAATCATACCAACCTCAACAAATTTAAAAATATAATATGCTGGTTTTTCCCTGGGAAAAGCTGGGAAAAACAAATGCTCCAAAACTTAACTCTATCGAAATGAATAATAATATATTTTTTTTAAAATCATGTTAGTTTTTAAAACTTTATAAGCTTTTTTCCTTAACATCAAATTTTAAATATTTCCCACCCCAGTGGGTTCCCCCCTATTTAAAAAGAGATTTTGCCCCCAAACATATTTTTAAAAATATTTTGTAAAAAAAAATTGTTTTTAGCTTTTGAATTTATTTTCATTATTTTGTATACTTTTGATATTTTTTTTTTGATAAACTAGAACAACTGTAGGTACGAAATTTTAAAATAAGTAGAAAGTGAACAAAAGCTGTTGGTAGGACAGCACACTCGCTTGATAGTAAAAGAGCCTTGATAATGTAAAATTTTCTAAGTTAACAAAAAGGCAAATTTTTTCTTTAAATCCATGTTACAGTTATAGGCCTTGAAAAGAGTCCTATTATGCTCTCAAAGAAAAGTATAAAATTTCACTTGTTTCAAAGCCAGAATGATGTCAATGGAATATGAAAATATCTGATGTGGTATGCAAACTTTAATGTAAAATCTAAGTAAAAAAAGGGGCATTATTCTGTCAAAATGCTTGATAGAGTTACCTCCTCTAGTGTACACCTTGGGGGCATGATGGTGAACAAGTGTGCAAAGTTTCTGAGCCACATGTCAATGGACTTTGAAAATATTTGAGGTGGTATGCAAATTTTCACATAAATTCCACGTCGAAAAAGTGGCATGATTTTGTCAAAATGCTTGATAGAGTTACCTCCTCCTGTCTACAGGTTGGGGGCATGATGGTGAACAAGTGTGCAAAGTTTCAAAGCCACATGTCAATGTACTTTGAAAATATTTGAGGTGTTACAAAAACTTTAACGTAAATTCTAAGTCGAAAAAAGGGCATTATTCTGTCAAAATGCTTGATAGAGTTACCTCCTCCTATTTACAGGTTGGGGTCATGATGGTGAACAAGTGTGAATGTTTCAAAGCCATATGTCAATGGACTTTGAAAATATTTGAGGTGTTGAAAAAACTTAACATAAGTGGTTACGCCAACACCGACGCTCTGGTGACTAGGATACCTCTACTTACTTATTCTTATTGCATAGAAGAGCTCAAATGACGACAGACTTTCTATGTAACACTCACTATTCACATTTGAATTTCGATGCTATGCCATGTGAATTTCATCATGATGTGAAGTCTATGAAGGCAGTAATTACAATCTGCCAAGGGAGGTTATCATTGTGAGGAGTTTGTCATTATAGTAGTGATCTGAATATTTTATTTGAGGCCACTACAGTAGTGATCTGAATATGTTATCTGAGGAGGCCTCTATGACATACAATCCACCCCATATATGTGATAATATTAACTCAGACAAAGTATGTTCAATTCTTTCTTGAGCGTAAACTATCTGGATAAACTACTGAAGGTTGGTGTTTTCACATAACCCATCAAGTTTGGAATAATGCTCAGGGGTATACATGTCTTACTCAGTAAGTATTGACTGGAGATTCACACTCTTTAAACCTAACCAAATAATTTTAGTCTTGAAATTCATGACCTCAAAACCTTCTCTGTGGACTTGACCTTATGACCTCAAAACCTCCTCTGTGAACTTGACCTTATGACCTAAAACCTGCTACGGGCCATTTTTAATGTTGTACAAAGCTTATCTAACTATGATATTCCTTCTCAAATAATTGATTGGACAAGTATTGTACAATAAGTCTCACTGTGATGGTTCAAATGACCTAAAAATCAAAAGGGGCCATGTTCTGGTTATGTGCAATGTCATTGCCAAGTTACATAAGCCATAGCTTATTAAATCAAACTCTATTTAAATAATCATTTTTGACATTCAAATTTAAATCACTTTATTAACTTACATTATAAACATTATACAAATCCCTAAAAAAGCTATTTTGTGCTGTTTATACAATACTTACAGCTTAGCCTTATTTTAACAAAATTGAAATTTAAGAAATGTTACAAAAATATGATATCTACCACAAACCATCCAAATATGTCCCACAGCAGTGTGTATGGAATACCAACAGCAAGTGTAACAATCTCCAAGGTTTCAAGATTGGTACCATTCTGTAATGCTAATATCACCAAACTCACCTAAGGTAGAAAATCAATATTTGAAAATTTATATACATGTACACAGAAATTAAGAAATGTAGAAACTTTGTTTGTGGTAAGGTGATTTTGTAATTTAGACAAATTCTAAATTGAAAGTTCATGACTGCAAAGCCACACTAAATATTTGCCTATGATACCATAAACCTGTATTAAAGTCACCCTATTTATATCACGGAAATTAGGCAGTAGGGACTATTTCAGCATATCTAAACACATTAAAGGTAATTTCCGTAGATAGTTTAAAATTTTATGCTTGACAAAATGTTAACTAATACAAACTATTTTCATATCAGAACTGTCTTAAGGGGAGAAGTGGCCTAGAAGTTAAGGTGTCTGCCTTTCAACCCAGGGAACATGGGTTTCAGCCCTAATTGCGTCACTACCATGTTTCTTCATACAACACCAGTACTGGTTGGTTCCAGGGAGCTCACTCAAAAGTGATTAATATAAGTTGCAAGAACTTGTTTCGCAATCAAGCTTACATAAATATGTTTAAACCAACTGTCTTAGCTTGCATAAAGTCTGACAGGACTCCATCCAGTCAGCTGCTTATCTTTAATACTTCTAATAGTGAAATACCCTATACATGCAATGGACTGTTCCAAAATTATAACAGGACCAGTTCATTACACAATATTAAGGCTTGAATCATTTATTATTATGGAACATTGAATACATACTGTCACTTGTAAATCAAACTTTAACCAACAAGAAAACAGAGCAGCTTCATTGTAGATTCCTGCAATTAAAAATAATCAAATACAGAACTTACTTTGTCATTTCAATTTGAAATCATAATGTAGGCAATGTGATATTTTCTTGTATCATTTTCAGGTTAAAGTATCCTAGTATTATCACTGAGTTTGGTGTTCCATGCAATACTTACATGAGTGGCACAGCCATAAGCGAAAAATATAAGCTAATGTCCAGGGAATATATTACATGTATGACATACAAATTTTTTACTTATTTAATAAATCTATAAATCAAATAAATACACATGAAGTATATTTCTATTAATTTCTGCCACAAAAACAATACAATGTCCCAATGATTTATTATGTTGAAAATTTATTCCATCAGATATATACATTTGTAGCTGTTGTAATAAGTGATACATCTATAAAAAATAATTTGAATCTTACCATAAAGCAAACAAAATAAATTTTTCAGTATTTAAGCAACATATTAATATATTAATAACCAAATCATAAACAAGAGCTGTCGGTAGGACAGCAACGCTCGACTATTCTTAGTGCTTGATAGTAAAAAAAATGCTTGATACAGTTACCTCCTCCTGTGTACAGGTTGGGGTCATGATGGTGAACAGGTGTGCAAAGTTTCAAAGCCATATGTCAATGGACTTTGAAAATATTTGAACTATTACAAAAACTTTAACGTAAATTCTAAGTCGAAAAAGGGGCATGATTTTGTCAAAATGCTTGGTAGAGTTACCTCCTCCTGTCTACAGGTTGGGGTCATGATGATGAACAAGTGTGCAAAGTTTCAAAGCCATATGTCAATGGACTTTGAAAATATTTAAACTATTACAAAAACTTTAACGTAAATTCTAAGTCGAAAAAGGGGCATGATTTTGTCAAAATGCTTGATAGAGTTACCTCCTCCTGTCTACAGGTTGGGGTCATGATGGTGAACAAGTGTGCAAAGTTTCAAAGCCATATGTCAATGGACTTTGAAAATATTTGAACTATTACAAAATCTTTAACGTAAATTCTAAGTCGAAAAAGGGGCGTAATTCTGTCAAAATGCTTGATAGAGTTACCTCCTCCTGTCTACAGGTTGGGGTCATGATGGTAAACAAGCGTGCAAAGTTTCAAAGCCATATGTCAATGGACTTTGAAAATATTTGAACTATTACAAAAACTTTAACGTAAATTCTAAGTCAAACAAGAGCTGTCGGTAGGACAGCAATGCTCGACTATTCTTAGTGCTTGATAGTAAAAAAAATGCTTGATACAGTTACCTCCTCCTGTTTACAGGTTGGGGTCATGATGGTGAACAAGTGTGCAAAGTTTTAAAGCCATATGTCAATGGACTTTGAAAATAATTGAACTATTACAAAAACTTTAACGTAAATTCTAAGTCGAAAAAGGGGCATTATTCTGTCAAAATGCTTGATAGAGTTACCTCCTCCTGTTTACAGGTTGGGGGTCATGATGGTGAACAAGTGTGCAAAGTTTCAAAGCCATATGTCAATGGACTTTGAAAAATATTTGAACTATTACAAAAAACTTTAACGTAAATTCTAAGTCGAAAAAGGAGCATTATTCTGTCAAAATGCTTGATAGAGTTACCTCCTCTTGTCTACAGGTTGGGGTCATGATGGTGAACAAGTGTGCAAAGTTTCAAAGCCATATGTCAATGGACTTTGAAAACATTTGAACTATTACAAAAACTTTAACGTAAATTCTAAGTCGAAAAAGGGGCATAATTCTGTCAAAATGCTTGATAGAGTTACCTCCTCTTGTCTACAGGTTGGGGTCATGATGGTGAACAAGTGTGCAAAGTTTCAAAGCCATATGTCAATGGACTTTGAAAATATTTGAACTATTACAAAAACTTTAACGTAAATTCTAAGTCGAAAAAGGGGCATAATTCTGTCAAAATGCTTGATAGAGTTACCTCCTCCTGTCTACAGGTTGGGGTCATGATGGTGAACAAGTGTGCAAAGTTTCAAAGCCATATGTCTATGGACTATGAAAATATTTGAACTATTACAAAAACTTTAACATAAGTGGTTACGCCGACGCCGACGCTCGGGTGACTGCAATAGCTCTACTTATTCTTATCGAATAGTCGAGCTAAAAAGGGCATAATTCTGTCAAAATGCTTGATAGAGTTACCTCCTCCTGTCTACAGGTTGGGGTCATGATTGTGAACAAGTGTGCAAAGTTTCAAAACCATATGTCAATGGACTTTGAAAATATTTGAACTATTACAAAAACTTTAACGTAAATTCTAAGTCGAAAAAGGGGCATAATTCTGTCAAAATGCTTGATAGAGTTACCTCCTCCTGTCTACAGGTTGGGGTCATGATGGTGAACAAGTGTGCAAAGTTTCAAAGCCATATGTCAATGGACTTTGAAAATATTCGAACTATTACAAAAACTTTAACATAAGTGGTTACGCCGACGCAGACGCCGACACTGATTCTTATCGAATAGTCGAGCTAAAAATGCATGGTTCATAGAAAGCAATGGAAACAAGTGTAATAGCTGATAGACTGAGATAGATTAATGTGGAACATTTTTCACTATACATATGTACTTTAGTACCAGTCAAAAACCATTGTAACACTTATAACAAATCCTGGCCAGCCTACATATCTGTTTAAACTGATCCACTCTATATTGATAAAACAACAACTTTAAATTTTTCATTGTGATAGCCCAAAAATTGAATTAAGCCGTCCGGTTAGCTCAATAGGGTTAGCTCAATAGGTAGAGCATTGGACTGTGAATCGGATTCCCCGACAGCGCAGATCACTTTCATTGTGATTGATCATGAAATCCTTTCTACAGCCATTCACGCTGTACCTCTGCCCTGGTATGTACAGAAGTTTCAGTTCCTTGCAAAAGTGAAGGCAACTAGTACTGGTAAACTGCCTGACAGCCTGCCCGGAACCATGCAGTGATTGAACTGTGCTCTGGTCAATTCCATGTAGCTTACTGCCATGATCTGGAGTGACAACTACCAACACCACCATCACGACCAAAAATTGGAGTTGGTCCAAAAAATAGAAACTGGACAAGTCCATTTAAAATATTCTTCTGGATAAAGGTAAAGCAGGTATTCAATTTCTGAAAAAGACTTACGCTGTAAATGAGCTGATGCCCCTGCTATTCTAAATTCTAGCTCTCCGAAATCTCGTGCAACAAGTACAGACAGAATGATATTTGGTGGTGCAAACACACAAGCTATGATCAGTCGAACCTGCAATACATAAAGCGCTGTGTTAAAGTTGTGCTGTCAAAATTTGTACAACATAATATTATAGTCACTGACCTTGCTTTATATTTTGAGTGCTTAATTATTGTAAACCCTACAACAACGCACTCAAAATTAATATGTATCTATTTCCTAAAAGAAATTCAATATTCTTTATACAGTTTAACAATTCTACTCCAGACAAGATTTACTAAGTGCACTTCCTCCCACTTGTCTCTTAATTTCAATGGTTGCATTGTTTTAATCAAATGTTTTCAATCATTGTCAAATTAGTGTGTAGACTTTCTTTGCACACGTCAACGCATTTAGATTAACCCAAAAAAATAATTTCGAATCATCCAAAGATGTGTTTATATTGCAGTGATAATAGATGCTTGTTTTACTTTTACCTTGCTAAGTGTATGTTCAAGATGGCTTGGCTTTCATATTATACATGATGCATAGGCAAGTGAAAAGCCTTGCAACTTACAAAGTTAAAGATCTTACCAATTTAACTGTCGTTCTATTTTGTGACCTTACGGCATATTCCACAATACAATACAGTAATATGACCAGAATGGCAGCAATCTGTACATAAAGCTCGTACTTTCTCTCTCGTAGCACTCCATGAAGCACGTAGAAGGCAACAAATACTGAAACAAACAAACAAAATTCGGAAATCATACTTCAGTTCTATGAATACTTACAATAATACTCTATTATAAATTAGATTTATAATGAAAACTTTTACCAAAATTTTGGTTTGCTCAAATATATAATTGTAGGCACTACTCTAAACCATGCACAATGAAATGAACCTTTAATCACAGATTAATGTATTTTTTTTCAAGTTTGGCACTACTTTTTTCCCCATGAAAATGAAAAATCCCTGAATCAAAATCATGAAGTGCAGACTATTTTACTTTACAGATTTTTTCTGATTGTTTTTGTCATCATAATCTAAGAACATGCCATGTTTTAAGTAATTCTATTGAACAGTTTTTATTCTGCCTCTATGTCTGTATGAAAACTCCCAAAAATGTCCTTAAGAAAACTATTATGCAATCATTTTCTATTTTTTAGTTACTTACAAGCATTGACTATGATCAAAATGGTAAAAGTGAAATCTGAATTTTTGGGGTCATCCAGGGCAACTTCAACAAGTCTGTAACCTGTTAGCCCAACTGCCGCAAGGATATTGATAAAACTTAGAACAAGAAACCATCTTTCTTTAGGTAGTAATCCTGCACATGTTTTTGCCTGAAATATATAAAATATATGGATTAAAAAAGTATTGCTGCATGTCTGTAAAACCGAACACCCGACAGTTACAATGTATGATTAATCTTGACATTAACCGTCTATCTTTTGGCAAGAATTCTGAAATTGTTTTTTCCAAGAAATATAAAAATATACGGCTTTCAAGAGAGGTCAAGCATTATGGAGGACATCAGACTGGAATAGTAGTTGACATGGAGCTATATTTGTATTTACCACTACTATTACTATAATACTATTACTATTAATTACTGCTGATTGTAAAGAAAGACTTATAATAATCCATTTGAGAGTTACTCCCCTTATACCATAGTACATTGTAATGCAGCTTATTGCATAGAACTTAATGTTTTCTAAAGATCATGTCAAAAGCTTTTGAGAAGTGAAAGGGTATGAGGTCAACTTGACTTTTTTTAATTGACAGATTGTAAGATGTCATCTATTAACATTTGAATTTAGGTTCGATGGGACCTCTTTTTCTTTGAAACCATTCTATAATTTATAGAAAATACTGTTCCGAGGTATAACAAAGGATGCAGCTAGGTATGATATATAAGGTGGTAATTTGCAGGGTCTTAACTTGAGCCTTTCTTACATAATGTTTCTGCATTTTCCATTTAATGTACAAAATGTACATCTTGCTGTGCTTGACAATTGCAGGGACTATAATGAAATAGGGCAATCATAGCCCAACAAATATTATGCTTGAGGGCTTTTTGTTATAATATTAGATGATGGTCGCCCTTCAGACAGACATCTATGAAATATCAGATTATAAAATTGGTTGATCTTGCAGTCGAAACATTGAGGCATAGGGCAATCTCTACTATGGTCAAAATTTCTTCTTCTTCTTCTTCTTCCAATAAACTGGCCACCTTCAACTAACTGAAGTTTACTGCCAGGTTAAAGTGCAAGAAGGAAAGAAAGAGTAAAAATAGTGAGGAATATACACAGTGCAGGTTGAAAACGGACAAGAATGTGTTTTAGGTAAAGAGTTGGGACAGATGAGTACGGAATGACTCAACTGTACCGGCTGACATAGCATCCACAGGGAGGCTGTTCCAGTCTTTGATGGTGCATGGGAAGAAGGATTGTTGACGATATTGTATACGGCAGTAGAGGATCTTGTAAGATAGGTTATGTGTATTTCTTGTAGATGTGGCATTGGAGGGTATGAGTTGTGAGTTGTCTAGAGCGATCTTGTTGTTGATGACTTTGTAGAGCATGATCAGTCTGGCCTCCTTACGACATTCTTGTAGTGATTACCATTCCAGGTCTGCAAGCATGTTTGTGACCCTGGACCTGTTGTGATACTTGTTCTTAACATACCGTGCAGCTTAATTGTCATTGAACCATGCCTAGACGGTGTATGTCTTCCTTCTTGTGGGGGTCCCAGACAGTGCAAGCTTGCATACTCCACTTTGGGGCGGACTACAGCTTTGTAGGCCATTTCTTTGGTGGAAGTAAAGGCAATATTAAGGTTTCTTCACAGGACGCTGATGGTACGGTTGGCTTTGTTACAGATGTTATTTATATGTTGGCCCCAGTCAAGGTTGTTATTCAGGGTGCATCCGAGGTATTTAGCTGATGTGACAGTGACATGCTCTAGAGTATGACCATGAAGAGTGTAGTTGTGGCAGATGGGGCTTCTTTTCTTGGAGATGGTGAGGACTTGGCATTTGTCTGGGTGGAATGACATTTTCCATTTCTCTTCCCAGACAGCTAGTTTGTTGAGGTCAGATTGTAGGGTGGATTTTGGGATTATTCTTTGCTGTTATAGAACGATTGGTCTTATTTAGTATGGCCTTATTGGGATTCAGATTAGTGACAACCTTCTGATCTCAGTGACTTTATGATATATAATTTAGTCATGTATTTCATATCTATCTGTCTATTTCTGTACAACAATATGACAGGGTCATTTTTTGAAATTTGAGGTTACCTTGCCAAACACTGTTGTCACAGTTGTTTTGGGGGCATTCGGTATGCCAAATCTTGAATAGTCTCCGGATTCTCCAGAATCGTACCGATCATTGTCTGTGTCTTCCATAATTCCACATGTTATTTCACTTCCTTGATAGATTGTTATGTCGATTGTTATGTCATGTGATTACAGAGAAAAGTGATCATCACAACACAGTGTTTCGCACGCACCGGACTGCTAATTAGCAATTAGATGGAGAGAAAAAAGGTAAATTTCGAACAGTTTAAGCAAATTTTATACATTTGCTGGTTTTAAGGATAATCTTAATTGTTTTATCTACAAATGCTTTCAATAAAGTTTCCTTTTGCAATGTATAAGATTTATCCGGGAATTATTGGAAGTGTATAATATTTCGGACAAAAATAATTTAGTTAACATTACAAATTATGCAAATTTTGGGATAATCACACGATTTCTACGGATCCTTTTCAGTTGCTGCTGCAGTTATGTGATCAATTTTGGATTTGTATAAAGAGAATGTCTCAGATTACTTTGAATATGCACCTAAGCTTTGCAGAATTTGTTTTTTGCCCCCCCCCCCCCCCCCCCCCCTCAGCATCTTGTCATTTAAACTTGAGATATTAAAGATTATTATCCATTGTTATTTATGATAAATTGATAACTATTATCATACAAAATATGATTTTAAAATTTTTCCAAAGCAGGTCTGAGGAATAATTTATCATGATTAGCCCTATAAGTATTAAATTATAAATAATAAAATATAATAGAACTCAGAATTGTCACAGAATGTGTAAAATCTTTTGTTAACTAAATTTCTTTCACATTTCTACTTCTAGATTCATATTACAAGTTGACCTTTTACAGACTGCAGTTATGTACTAGTAGGTTGCAAGCATTTAATTTGGTGCTTGTGACAGTAGAAATATTTTTGTACAAATTTTACATGCATCACATTCACAAACATGGTGTTTACTAGTGTTTAGGTACTGGTACACTGTTGTTCATATTTGTAATAAGCTGTGCATGATTTTACGTTGTGATTGTACATTTGGCATATTTATGAAATGAGATGAAAATTTAAAGTAAAAAAGTTTAGATTATGCAGTGCATGAACAGTATTTATTTTACGTAAATGAAACAGAAAATCCAATTGGTGTTGGAACGAGTTGGAACTTCCAAAGTATCTCCAGTTTATACATCAATTTTGCTCTTTCAGGAGTTCAAAGAGAAATCAATTTCACAGAAAATATAACACAGTGTTTTTTTACAAATGTTTAGTGTGGGTCCTTGAACTCATTGGATTATAGATCTGTAAGCCCAAACTTAAAAGTCACGAGTTTTGATGACTTATGGTTGCTTTGTGACATGAAAGGTATATAATTATACAAGGTAAATGGAACAAAAAATAAAGTTTCCTTTTAAAAGGAAAGGCTTGCTCAGATGTGCCTTCATCCCAACCCTTTAAAATTGTTTTTTTTTGTTTCAATTTATTATCACAATTTTTTTGAATTTTTTATGAATTACGGTATTTGTATATCATAAAGGGTTTATTTAGTTTTTATTTTGTAATAACGAATATTTTTTGTCAAAACGATTTGCAATCTTTTCTCTATTGTATAAAACTAATAAAGAAAATAATCAATCGTAAAAATACTAACGTGGAAATCTATCTATCATACTGAAGGGAAACAAGTGTGCACATTTCATTTCCACTTTTTTCGCAGAGAAATCATTTGTTTTGGCAGTAGCTAATTTCATTTATATAGCAGCTTTATAGACAAGTAAATGCAATAAAATACTTCGTTACGTGGTACCAATTAATAAGCATGTATCAACTATGTTACACGATCACAGATAGGATACGCTATCTGTAGATCAGCACGTGGTAAGGTTAATGATATGCATGGGCTATTTTTAGATTACCTCACCGCGTTCAGTAGATCTAAATATAACTTGATCATGCACTAATATTCTGTAGGACCACCCTTTGGAGACGGAATACTACTACAGTAACCATTCTCTATTGTATAAAACTAATATAGACAAAAAACAATTATAAAAGAAACTAACTTTTGCGTCTTGAAAAAGAATTGAAACGGAACAATTTCGGTTATAATTTATTACGGTTTAAACCGATAAATCAAGTAAAAATAGAAATCCTATTAATATAAACAAACTGAGATTACCGAAGTAACTAAAATAGCTTAGATGTCCGTAATATTACTTTGTCTGATTCCGCAGTATGACAGAATCGCCCGAATTGTCACGATTGCAATCGGAACTACATCGGCTATTATCATTATTCCGAAGAGTGACGGAAAGGGCCGAAAAGTTGCGATTGGGACGATTGCAGCTGGTTTCCTGTTCAATCATGCACTAACAAATGTAAGCAGGAAACCACCTAACTGGAGCAACTTTTCCAAAACAGATGGCTGATAAAAAAAAAAGGATTATTAAAAAATGGATATCATATTACACTACTTCTGTATGACAATATCCATAACTGTCTTTATTTCCATTATTTTGATCAACTTTCCCTAATTATTATTATAATTTTTATGCTTTGCTATAAATATTTTATTGTATTATGGCCCGTGGAGTTACAAAATAGAATACTTTTCTGTAGAAAATGTGAAGATAAAAATGATTTAAACATAGGAATATATACTAGAAAATGAAATATTTACGGCTAGTCATGCTAGTTGTACTTTCAAACTTCGATGATTTTTCTCCTTTTAAGGCATCCTTGATAAACTATCACAAACAGTTGTAAGGGTTATTCAATGATTTTTGACAGAGTTAACCCTCTTGAACTTTGGAAAAGAAAAAAAAGAAATCGTCAATTTCTGTTTGTTATCTCCCCCACAGTTGTACACATTCAACTCTAATTTAACATATGGACATGTCATCTATAAAAATAGAAATACATGCTGGTAGGTCAAGTTCAAATTTGGTCATGGTTGGATGAGTTTTGACTGAGTTATCCCTCTTGGACTTTTTCAGTATCAGCACTCTTGCTTTAGTAGAAATGTATGTATTAGGTTGAAATCCCATGTGCAGGTTTTCCACCAGAAAGTACAAGTCAAGTTCTAATTTGGTCATGGTCAGATGTCTTGGAAAATATTTAAAAATTCACAATTTATAATCATTATCTTGGCTACAAATATGCAGTTTGCAAAAGGTTAACACTGAATAGTTTCAGGGCCTTGAACTTTGTATATTCAGGGTGTCTGTGACTCTTTGACCCTTCAAATTTCCATAAGGCCTGATTTGACCCTCAGAATTTTAAGGGTCAAATTTTGTTAAAATCATGAGGATTTGGCCTTGTAGTCGGTACAACTTAGTCAAACTGACCCTCAGGATTGGTTATGGTCAGATCTAAAAGCGGAGCATTATTTAGAGCTGATTGTAATCAGATTGAAAACAAAACAAAAGAAATAAAAAAAATTGCAGCTCTTGATACTTTTTTGTGTTGCCTTGAAAAAGGCAATTTATAGGGGTAATTTTTGTTAGCGGGCGTCGGCGGTGGCATCCCCTAAGGCTTGTCCAAAGAAAACTCAGTCACTATAAGTTGGATTGACCCCAACTTGGTATGCATGCTTCTTTCAATGACTCGAAGTGCACAAGAATCATTACTCTGCGCTTCTTAATTTTTGAGTTATTGCCCTTTGTTAATTTTCATACTTTATTTTTGTCCGAGCAAGTTTTTCCTAAATTATAATTTGAAGCTATAGACTTGAAACTTCATAGGATGATAGATCTCATTAAGAAGAAGTGCAGTGCACAAAAACCGGTACTCTGTACTTGATGATTTTAGAGTTATTGCCCTTTGTTAATTATAATACTTTATTTTTGTCCCGATCATTTCACCTAAACTATAAAAGCTATATCCTTGAAACCTCATAGGATGATAGATCTCATTGGGAGAAAGAGCAGTGAACCAATACTTTGTACTTCATGATATTAGAGTTATTGCCCTTTGTTAATTATTATACTTTCTTTTTGTCCGGGCCAATTCTCCTACACAATTGAAGCTATTCAAGCTACATCAATCCTGATGTAACATTGTTACAATCAGTTCAAACTTTGCCACTAAAGTTCAAGGTACATGTACATTGTAAGAGTGGTGTTTATAAATAACCTATATTTAAGAAGAAAATGCCTAAATGACAGCTATACTGTTCACAAGGCGACATGTCTGACTCATGGAGCTCTAGTTTTGTTTTAACAATTGTATCTTCATTTCTTCAACAGAACTTCATGTCAAAAATTAACAACAGGTAAACATTTCTGTGTTTTTCTAAAAACAAATGAATGTCAATGTCATGTCAGCTTGTTTAAAAACAAATGAAAGTCAAGGTCAGGTCAGCTTGTTTAGAAACAAATGAAAGTCAAGGTCAGGTCAGCTTTTCAAAAAACAAATGAATGTCAAGGTCAGGATCTAGGAAATATGAAAGGACATAATAGACTATAAGTCAAACATGATAATGTTTACATAAATCAGTGGTACCATTAGGAATTAATGGGTTATGCAAGTTATTCAGTTTCATTTTGCATTTATATTGCAATAAAAAAGAAAAAAATGGGTATCTATACATAAAACCAAGTAGTGTAGTGGTTAGAGAGTTCAGATTATGAAGAGTTCATCTTAAGGAAATGGGTTTTTCAAATTCAAATCTGCAATTGTGCATTATTTTATGTGTGTGTCTGTATGGTTTTTACTTTCAGAAAACATTTTCATATTCTCTTTTATAAACGTATGATTATTGAACATTTTGTACAAGTTTTTAACAGTTTAGCAAAATTGAATGTCATTGAACAGATTGAATAGTATTGTCAATTTAATTGTATTTAAAAATCTGAATTCAATTTGCTACATTTTTTAACAATTTCGACCCGCATTTGTATATCTATATATTTGAGATTTCTTCCATTCCTTATTTATCACTCTAATCATGACTGTGTTGCCTCTAACTTAACCTGTTAAAAGTGAATGTGTGTGTAAAATAAATTCACATGGAACTATAAAATATCTAACAGCAAAAACAATATTATAAAAATATAAGAAATTAAAAATGCTTTTTCCAGTTATCGAACCAGGGTCTCTACACTGACAAAGCCAAAACTCAACCACTATGCTATTACATTGAACGGATATAAAAATGAGTAATTGTTTAGGTTGTTAAAGATATAGGCGAAACAATGTATGCATTTATATAAGAATTATCATCACCCCTATTTGTCAATATTGATGTAAACAGATAATGAAAGGAATAGTGAATTTGGGCTTTAACTCATGAATTCAGTATTTGTTAACCAGGTTTTCCGAAGGAAAAAACTGGTTATTAGATTGAGGTATGTCGGCGGGCGGGCAGACGGGCGGGCGGGCAGGCGTAAACAATTTCTTCTGTGCGCAACTCCTCCTACATTTCTCAACGGATTTTGACCAAACTTTCGAAGAATTTTACGAAGGAAAAAACTGGTTATTAGATTGAGGTATGTCGGCGGGCGGGCGGATGGGCGGGCGGGCGTAAACAATTTCTTCTGTGCGCAACTCCTCCTACATTTCTCAACGGATTTTGACCAAACTTTCACAGAAGCTTTGTCATCAAGTGCCCTGGCGCATATTGTCGGGGTTTTGCGATTAGATAATATTTGACCTAATTATGGCCTTTTGTTTTTTTTCCTTATATAAAATATATAGTGAACAATTTCTTCTGTGCGCAACTCCTCCTACATTTCTCAACAGATTTTGACCAAACTTTCTCAGAAGCTTTGTCATCAAGTGTCCTGACACATATTGCCAGGGTTTTGCAATTGGTATATATTTGACCTAATTATGGCCCTTTGTTTTTTTTCCTTATATAAAATATATAGTGAACAATTTCTTCTGTGCGCAACTCCTCCTACATTTCTCAACAGATTTTGACCAAACTTTCCTATAGAAGCTTTGTTATCAAGTGCCTGGCACATATTGTCGGGGTTTTGTGATTGGATAATATTTGACTGCATTATGGCCCTTTGTATATTTTTTCCTTATACAGAATATATAGAGAACAATTTCTTCTGTGCTCAACTCCTCCTACATTTCTCAACGGATTTTGACCAAACTTTCTTAGAAGCTTTGTTATCAAGTGCCTGGCACATATTGTCGGGGTTTTGTGATTGGATAATATTTGACTGCATTATGGCCCTTTGTATATTTTTTCCTTATACAGAATATATAGTGAACAATTTCTACAGTGCGCAACTTCTCCTACATTTCTCAATCGATTTTGACCAAACTTTCACAGAAGCTTTGTCATCAAGTGCCCTGGCGCTCACTAAATTCCCATGTTTCTTCCAAGACATCATTCAAGTATTTTTTATACGCCCGTTTTAAAAACGGGACGTATTATGGGAACGCCCCTGGCGGGCGGGCGGGCGGGCGGCGTCCAATTTTGTCCGGAGCATATCTCCTACATGTATGGAGGGATTTTAATGAAATTTCATAGAAATGTTCACCACTATGAGGAGCAGTGTCGCGCACATGAACCAGGTCTCTAGGTCAAAGGTCAAGGTCACACTTAGAGCTCATTGAAAAATGCTTGTCCGGAGCAAAACTTCCACATGTATAGAGGGATTTCAATATTACTTGGCACAAATGTTCACCATTGTGAGGCGGAGTGTCGCGCGCAAGATTCAGGTCCTTGCGGCCAAGGTCAAGGTCACACATAGAGGTCAAAGTTCAGATAAAAATATGAAGATGTGTATATGGACCATTTAGTCATCATTTAATGAGGGATTGTAACACAAATGGTCATTATCAAGACTATGGCTGTGATACATATAATTTAGGTCAATATATACAAGGTCAAGGTCACAAAAGATGATGAAATATCCAGATTTTGTCCGAAGCATATCTCCTACACGCATGGAGGGATTTGAATGAAATTTCATAGAAATGTTCACCATTATGAGAAGCCATGTCACGCACATGAACTAGGTCTCTAGGTCAAAGGTCAAGGTCACACTTAGAGCTCATTGGAAAACGCTTGTCCGGAGCAAAACTTCCACATGCATAGAGGGATTTCAATATAACTTGGCACAAATGTTCACCATTGTGAGGCGGAGTGTCGCGCACAAAATTCAGGTCCCTGCAGCCAAGGTCAAGGTCACACATAGGGGTCAAAGTTTAGATAAAAATATGAAGATGTGTATAGGGACGATTTAATCTTCATTTATTGAGGGATTGTAACACAAATGGTCATTATCATGACTACGGCTGTGACACATGTACTTTAGGTCAATATATGCAAGGTCAAGGTCACTAAAGATTGGTGAAATATCCAGATTTTGTCTGGAGCATATCTCCTACATGTATGGAAGAATTTTTATAATACTTTATGGAATGTTCACCACCATGATATGTATTGCTCCATGCATGATCCAGGTCTCCAGGTCAAAGGTCAAGGTCACACTTAGAGCTCATTGAAAAACGCTTGTCCGGAGCAAAACTTCTACATTCATAGGGGGATTTCAATATAACTTGGCACAAATGTTCACCATTGTGAGGCTGAGTGTCGCACGCAAAATTTCAGATCCCTGCGACCAAAGTCAAGGTTACACATAGAGGTCAAAGTTCAGATAAAAATTTGAAGATGTGTATAGGGACCATTTAGTCATCATTTATTGATGGATTGTAGCACAAATGGGTAACTATCAATGACTACAGGTGTGACACATTTAATTTGGGTTTAATATTTGCAAGGTCAAGGTCACTGGAGATGATTAAATATCCAGATGTTGTCCGGAGCATATTTTCTACATGCATGGAGGAATTTTAATGTTACTTTATAGAATTGTTCACCACCATGAGACGTAGTGCCCTGCTTATGAACCAAGTCTCTAGGTCAAAGGTGAAGGTCACAGTTAGAGCTCATAGAAAAACGCTTTGTCTGGAGCAAAACTTCTAACATGCATAGAGGGATTTCAATATAATTTGGCAAACAAATGTTCATCATTGTGAGGCTGAGTGCCGTGCATAAAATTCAGGTCCCTGCGACCAAGGTCAAGGTCACACATTCTGTGCATATCTTCCCTATTGATTTGTTTTAAGGTTCATTTAACAACACAGTGCCAAGAATAAAAACTTGCTTGCTAGATAACACTTATCCATAATGCCCCCATCTCCATCTAAAGCTTTTTCGTAAACGGGCGTATTTTGTGACTATGGCACCCTTGTTTTAAAATTGTGAACATACTTTTCTTGATATCGCACAAAACACCACACGCCAATATTGTTGACAAAAGAAAATAACAAGAGACGCAAAAATGCAAGTACTGTTTACCTTTCTAAAACATTTGGGAAAAAAAGGTGAATAGACAACATAAAATTTCTCAATCATTTTTGTTTGAGGAATATTAAAAAAGCCATAATTCCTCCTAAAAGTTCAATTAAAAACAAATGCCCCTTCATGACAAAGCTTCTGTGAAATATTTTGCTGAAAACCTGGTTGCATCGCATTGCGATGTTCCTTGTTTGGTTTTCCAAGCTTATCGGCATTAGAAGAAACAAACTTTTACAGTTACAACTTTGAAGGTTGACTAAGCTATTGTACACAGTGAAGCTATAATATTAAAGTTTGTTTGTACCTGGGCATAACAGCTTCACAACTATTTATGGAAAAAAGAAATCTTAATATGACCCAAGTCACAATTTTCAGCACATATATATAGTTGTTTTTCAAGAGTATCTTGTGTATCATGTCTACACTTGTGTTTTGTATAACCACTCTTTATGATATTGGGTTACTCTGTTAAAGTATGCTTCATATGATATTTTATTATTTTTTAAGATATTTGAAGTACTTCCTTATAAAGTATTTCTTTCATTGCTTATAAAGTATTAATTTTATGTTTAAATCAGGTGTGAAATTACAAAATGGTAGGATCTGGTTAATAGTCATACTGTGACAATGTTATGAAATTTATTATAAATCTAGAAAAGATTTGTTTAGTGAACATGCTATATATAAATAGAACTTTAAAGACGTTTTCCAGAGTTTTCATATAGACATATAGGCAAAATTAAAACTGTTCAATAGAATTTCTTTAAAGTTGGCGTGTTATTACTATTAGAATATGATTACAGAAACATTTTAAACTGAAAACAAATTGGGGTCACCGTTCTCATTTTCGAGTTATCTGCCCTTGAATTGGACTTTTTCGTTAAATTCAAGGGCAGGTTATTTACAATGAAGTGAAACAATACATTTTTTTCTTCTTATTTTCATGAAGCTTTACTTTGTCTTAGTCAATATGAAAAATTTCAAGAACAAGTTTAGAGTGGATAGTTTTTTTCCCACTTCTTCTCTTAACCTGTGCTTTTTTTCTTAAAAATTGGCCTAATTTTTATGAATTTAAAGTACCTTTATTTTCATTAAAATAAACCAACAGAAATGATATTATGAATTGCATGTAATTATATTTTTTTATTCAACAATAAAAAGAAAAACATTATCGAGAAGAAAAAACAAGAATTCCTTTACCTATGTGTCAGTTATCTGCCCATTAAATGACCTCAAATAAGTAGAAAATTCTGATTCAGTGGCAGATAACTCAAAAACGAGAATGGTGACCACAATTTTTTTTCTGCTTAAATTGTTTCTGTTATCATTTTCTAACAGCATGCCAAGTTTTAAGAAATTCTATAGAACAGTTTTAATTTTGCCTATATGTCTATATGAAAACTCCTGAAAACGTCCTTATAGGAGTTACATTAGCTATGAGTTCATAAAGCCTAAAAACATAGAATTTGATATTTTTTTATACATCTAGTGAAGCACTTAAAATGGAAAAATCTACAAAGGATAATATAGAAAATAATACCAGAATAAAATTGAAAACCAATTCTGAATGCCATAATCTTAGCCCAGTTGAGTTAAAAGCCATGTGAAATGATTTCATCTTACTGGTCATTTTACACTTTGAAAATGGTTATTCTGGAAAAAACAGGGTGAGGGAATGGTCTGAAAATATTCACACAAGTTACATGTATTAGTTCAGACCTACAAAGCATGCAATGTTTTGAAGATATTTCCCATCCCGATATTTTAAAAAAACCTTGGTCTCCAGGAGTCTCTTTTAAAAATGGGTGTTAATTTTAATGCTGTAACTGTACATGTGTGTTTTCATATTTTTGTGGTTATATCCTTAAATAAAGATTTTCAATTTATTTTCAGGTTGTGATAGATTTATAGTAATCAATAAAACATGTTGTCTGTGACCAGATAATGTATTAAAAAAGCCCCAGTGCCCATTGTGATACAGTAGTCAACAAAGCCAGGTGACCGTCATGATACAGTAGTCAATAAGCCATGGTGAACGTCATGATACAGTAGTCAATAAGCCATGGTGAACGTCATGATACAGTAGTCAATAAGCCATGGTGAACGTCATGATACAGTAGTCAATAAGCCATGGTGAACGTCATGATACAGTAGTCAATAAGCCATGGTGAACGTCATGATACAGTAGTCAATAAGCCATGGTGAACGTCATGATACAGTAGTCAATAAGCCATGGTGAACGTCATGATACAGTATTAAACAAACCCAGATGAACGTCATGATACAGTAGTCAACAGAATGCAGGTGACCGTCATGACACAGTATTAGACAAACACATGTAATGTACATGCATGAAACACTTTTGAGTCAACAAACCCAGTCGACTAGTAGTCAACAAACCCAGGTGGCCACCATATATTATGATACAGTAGTCAGCAAAACCAGGTGACCATTGTGAAACAGTTGTCAATAAGGCATAGTGACAATCATGAAACTTTGCTTACCGTCGTGATACAGTTGTCAATATTATAAGCCATGGTGACTGTTGTGATACAGCAGTTATAAAGTAGAAAGAAAATTTTTATTTGATAAGTGTAATTGCTGTGCCAATGTGCATTTACTATTGAACAGAATTTTGCATAACATTTACAATCAAAATGACCTTTTATTTCCACGGAGTAACCTGTTCAGCTTAACAACAACATGTGTTACATTGATTACAACATAAATCTACTGATATTTTCTTGAGGACTTGGATATATGAGAACTAATGAAAGAATCATAAGAATTGAATGCTTTTGCTCTCAGTGCATTTTGTATCCATGTTAAAACTCAATGGTTGTTTTAAGTGTTGATAATTAATAAGGAAGCTGGTAAAGCTACTTTATTTTCTATAAGTGGCTGTGTACTGTTAAAGATTAGGCACTGGAAAGGAGAGATATGATTTATTTTACAAGGAATAGGGAAAATAACTATAAATATACTGGTCCCATTATAAAACTGCATGCATACTTACTTCAGTATTAAATACATCAGAACATTGATTTGTGATATACAATGTATGTGATATAAATAGTGTTAACTGAACCATTAAATGTTAGTAAAAAGTTTAGATGTTTTAAACTTCTCAAATGAAGAGTTGATGATTAAAAAACCGTCTGACTTTTGTGGTATTAAAAGAACTATGCTTTAAAGTTTTGGATGAATATGGTGATTCACATATGCCTTTCAAAATGTTTAAATAGTTTTTATACATAAATGGTATGCATAGAGAGTAATTTGATGCATATAAGTCAATAATAGCACACTGAGTATAATCATTGTGAATTTGTGACAACAGATTTTACATTTATATAACTATTGGAATATTGGATAGTTTAATGATGTGGATTGCATATCGGATCATTTACAAGATCTCTTTGAGCCAGGAAAATAGTAAATATGAGAATTTTATGATGCTATATGCTTTTAATAATCTGTTTTAATTGTTGGTAGCTTAAACAAGGAAAGACAATGAAGACGGCTATTCCATCATACCTGAAGCTTGGATCAATTTTTGTTATTTGCATGTGTTTATTTGTGTACTTGAACTGGGATACGGTGCCACCAAGGAACATCTCGTACATGAACTTTACGGTTGTTCGGGAGAAAGGTAATGTTGTACATCTGGTGCCAGAGATAAACACTACCAGCGAGCAGGTCTATAAGAGAATTACGGAAACATACAATACTCGAGATAGGGAGTATGATTTGCGAATTATTGTTGTTGTTTATAATCGAGCCCAGTCTCTGACCAGGCTTTTAAATTCGTTGAACGAGGCTGAATACGGTAAAGATTTCATAAAACTTGAGGTGTGGATTGACAGATCTATAGATCAAATGATTGATTCATTGACATTAAGAAGTGCAAATGAATTTAGATTTAAGCATGGCCAGTATAGTGTCATACAACATCCGCGTCATGTAGGGATATATGGACAATGGCTTACTACATGGAAACCAAAGATAAATAGTTCTGAAATAGCGGTGATACTAGAAGACGATTTAACAGTGTCACCCTATTTTTACAAATATTTAAAACTAGTCCATCGTAAATATGACTCGTATCCTGATGTGAACGGATATGCGTTGCAGGGATCAACAATTAAGCATTCTGTGAGGGATTCTTCCCAATTACAAGGACCTAAAGGAAGCTTAGTGTTTCTTTATCCAGTTCTTGGAACATGGGGATTTTCACCAAACCCCAAAAAATGGATCAAGTTTTTAGATTGGTTTGCTGTTGCCAGTAGAAATAAGGACTACCAGCTTAATGTTCCGGGAAATGTAGTTTCAGACTGGTACAGGCAATTCCAGCGCGAGGGTAAAACATCTAGCATTTGGTCAATTTGGCATATATACTATGCATGGAAGAATAATGAATACACCCTGTACTCTAATTTTGAAGGTAAGAGAAGTTGTAATCTTTAAGTTAATTGTTAAGGTAATGAAAATCACAGGCTATCATTGTAGGACGCATCCCCCCCTTTCCCCCAAGACTCAGTCCTAAAGGGTCCTATGGGTCTAGGAGTGTGTCTTAAGAGAAGGTCTCAAGCTGATACCCTGTCAGAAATTATTTTTATGCCCCCACAATGTGGGAGCATATAGCGTTGCACTTGTCCGTCCGTCCGTCAGTCCGTCCGTCAGTCCGTCCGTCCGTCAGTCCGTCCGTCCGTACGTCCCGAAATCTTGTGAACGCAACTCCTCTTAAACCGGATAGCAGATTTTGCTTAAACTTCCAGGGATGAACAACCTTAATGTGTAGATGGTAGTAAAGGAAGGAATTTTCGCTGCGACCAAATTTTACAGAATTATGGCCCTTTGTTGATTTTTTCACTATATACTATGTAGAAATTTTGTGAACGCAACTCCTCTTAAACCGGATGCTTTGTTGATTTTTTCACTATATACTATGTAAGAAATTTTGTGAACGCAACTCCTCTTAAACCGGATGGCAGATTTTGCTTAAACTTACAGGATGAACAACCTTAATGTGTAGATGGTAGTAAAGGAAGGGAATTTTTGCTGCGAAAAATTTAACAGAATTATGGCCCTTTGTTGATTTTTTCACTTATATACTATGTAGAAATTTTGTGAACGCAACTCCTCTTAAACCGGATGGCAGATTTTGCTTAAACTTCCAGGGATGAACAACCTTAAGGTGTAGATGGTAGTTAAGGAAGGAATTTTCGCTGCGACCAAATTTTACAGAATTATGGCCCTTTGTTGATTTTTTCACTATATACTATGTAGAAATTTTGTGAATGCAACTCCTCTTAAACCGGATGGCAGATTTTGCTTAAACTTCCAGGGATGAACAACCTTAATGTGTAGATGGTAGTAAAGGAAGGAATTTTTGCTGCGACCAAATTTAACAGAATTATGGCCCTTTGTTGATTTTTTAGCTCACCTGTCACAAAGTGACAGGGTGAGCTTTTGTGATCGCTTTTCGTCCGGCGTCCGTCCGTCCGTCGTCCGTCCGTCCGTAAACTTTTGCTTTAAATGACATCTCCTCATAAACCACTGAGCCAATTTCATCCAAACTTCACAGGAATGTTCCTTTGGTGGTCACCTTTAAAAATTGTTCAAAGAATTTAATTCCATGCAGAACTCTGGTTGCCATGGCAACAGAAAGAAAAATCTTTAAATATCTTCTTTTAAACAACCCTAAGAGCTAGAGCTAAGATATTTGGCATGGAACATCTTCTAGTGAGTGTCTACCAAGTTTGTTCAAATAAAAGCCCTGGGGTCAAAATTGGCCCCGCCCCAGGGGGTCATTGATTTTCCCTATATCATATAGTAAAAACTTAAAAATTCTTCTTTTAAAGAACCAAAGAGCTAGAGCTAAGATATTTAGCATGAAACATCTTCTAGTGAGTGTCTACCAAGTTTGTTCAAATAAAAGCCCTGGGGTCAAAATTGGCCCCGCCCCGGGGGTCATTGATTTTCCCTATATGCATATAGTAAAAACTTAAAAATCTTCTTTTAAAGAACCTTAAGAGCTAGAGCTAAGATATTAAGCATGAAACATCTTCTAGTGAGTGTCTACCAAGTTTGTTCAAATAAAAGCCCTGGGTCAAAATTGGCCACGCCCAGGGGGTCATTGATTTTCCCTATATGCATATAGTAAAAACTTAAAAATCTTCTTTTAAAGAACCCAAAGAGCTAGAGCTAAGATATTTAAGCATGAAACATCTTCTAGTGAGTGTCTACCAAGTTTGTTCAAAAAAAGCCCTGGGGTCAAAATTGGCCCCGCCCCAGGGGGTCATTGATTTTCCCTATATGCATATAGTAAAAACTTAAAAATCTTCTTTTAAAGAACCCAAATGAGCTAGAGCTAAGATATTAAGCATGAAACATCTTCTAGTGAGTGTCTACCAAGTTTGTTCAAATGAAAAGCCCTGTGGTCAAAAATTGGCCCCACCCCGGGGGTCATCGATTTTCCCTATATGCATATAGTAAAACTTAAAAAATCTTCTTTTTAAAGAACCTTAAGAGCTAGAGCTTAGATATTTGGCATGAAACATCTTCTAGTGCATGTTACCAAGTTTGTTCAAATAAAAAGCCCTGGGGTCAAAATTGACCCCGCCCAGGGGGTCATAGATTTTCCCTATATGCATATAGTAAAACTTAAAATTTCTTCTTTTAAAGAACCCAAAGAGCTAGAGCTAAGATATTTTAGCATGAAACATCTTCTAATGAGTGTCTACCAAGTTTGTTCAAATAAAAGCCCTGGGGTCAAAATTGGCCCCCGCCCAGGGGGTCATTGATTTTCCCTATATGCATATAGTAAAAACTTAAAAAATCTTCTTTTAAAGAACTCAAAAGAGCTAGAGCTAACATATTTATCATGAAACATGTTCTAATGGGTGTCCTACCAAGTATGTTCAAATAAAAGCCCTGGGTCAAAAACTGGCCCCGCCCGGGGGGGGGGGGGGGGGTCATTGATTTTCCTTATATGTGTATAGCAAAAACTTAAAAAATCTTCTTTGAAAAAACCAAATAGCTAGAGTTTAGATATTAAGCATGAAACATCTTTAAGTAAATATCTACAAACTTTGTTCAATAAAAGCCCGGGGGTCAAAACTGGCCCTGCCCCAGGGGTGTCATTGTTTTTAACTATATGTGTATAGTAAAAACTTTAAAAATCTTCTTTTAAAAAACCCAATGAGCTAGGACTTAGATGTTTAGCATGAAACATCTTCTTATGGGTGTCTACCAAGTTTGTTCAAATAAACAAATAAAAGCCCTTGGGTAAAAATTAGCCCGGAGGTGTGGGGGGGGCCTATATACAGGTGAGCGACCTCAGGGCCATCATGGCCCTCTTGTTTCATTATATACTATGTAGGAATTTTGTGAACGCAACTCCTCTTAAACCGGATGGCAGATTTTGCTTAAACTTCCAGGGATGAACAACCTTAATGTGTAGATGGTAGTAAAGGAAGGAATTTTTGCTGTGACCAAATTTAACAGAATTATGGCCCTTTGTTGATTTTTAGTTTTGAACTTGTGGCATGTGTAGTCCAAAAAATATTTGACCTAGAGTCATAAGATTGACAGAACAGTGGCGTGTGGGGGCATCCGTGTCCTATGGACACATTTCTAGTTTTTGTCTGATTTAATGTAATATTCTAAAAGTCTAGGTTAAATGATTTAGATTTCTTTTTATTGTCAGCTCTATAATGTGTATATTGAATTACTAAAGGAAATTAATGTTGTATTTGCTGTATAAACTCAATCGGAAATTAAAAGAGGATTATTTTAAAGCGGATATTTTTGTATCACTGGATAGATTTTATTCTAAAAGGACAATAATGATTTGCTAAAAAATTTGTATTGACATTGTAGACACATTTTTTTAGTGCATTATACAAGAATATAACAGCATTTAAAAATTTAAACAAAAAAGTTATTATAGGGTTAATGTATTATTTATTTCAAAATTTTTATATATACCCTTTATAATGTGATCCTGTTTTACGTGGTCGACAGCTGCCAAATATCAGTCCAGAAGAGACGATATACATTTAACAGTTGACGAGAGCAAAATACATCTACATGTAGTCTATATAGAAGAATAACAGTGCACATCATGTGTTGTAAATTAGTACTATTTGCCTTTGTAATGAAAATGAGTACATTTAAACAGTATACATTATTAGAGCCATATTTATCATAACATATTGCAATTAATGTCAATCTGAATATAGTGGTGGCCTGTCTATATTTTGGTCATTTTAGCTCAGTCCACTTGCTCACCACTATAGACAGGTTAGACTGTATGTTCAAAAATACTTCTTTATGCTTGTTTGTGACAACTGTTATTTCCTCACAACAAAATTTGAGTGAGATACAATAGAAATGGATTTTTATGTATCAAATTTATTTTGTCTAATGATATTGTTCAATTCATTAGTTCTTCTGTTTTGAAGAAAAGGGTGAGCTATTATGATCACTGCAGTGTTTGCGAAAACTTTAATGTAGCATGTTATTCAAACATTTTAAAAGTTATCACCATGAAACTTGGCCTACTTGTTTATCATGACATGGTGCAGTTGTTAGACAACGGGCATAATTATGAAAGGAATTTTTTGAAGATATGCCCCTTTTTATACCCCCGCACAACAAAGTTGTAAGGGGGGTATACTGGAATCAGGTTGTCCGTCCGGCTGTTTGGCTGTCTGGCTGTTTTTTCTTGTCCGCCCAATAACTTATGATTCCTTTGACCCACAGTCTTCATATTTGGCATGGAGGTTAGTCATGATTAGTAGATGACCCCTATTGATTTTGAGGTCAAATGTCAAGGTCACAGGGGCCTTGACTTCAAAAAGCTTGTCCGCAGAATAACTTATGATTCCTTTGACCCACAGTCTTCATATTTGGCATGGAGGATAGCCATGATTAGTAGATGACCCCCATGTTTTTTTTAGGTCACCAGGTCAAAGGTCAAGGTTACAGGGGCCTTGACTTTAAAAAGCTTGTCCGCCCAATAACTTAAGATTCCTTTGACCCACAGTCTTCATATTTGGCATGGAGGTTAGTCATGATTAGTAGATGACCCCTATTGATTTTGAGGTCAAAGGTCAAGGTCACAGGGGCCTTGACTTCAAAAAGCTTGTCCGCCCAATAACTTTAGATTCCTTTGACCCACAGTCTTCATATTTGGCATGGAGGTTAGTCATCATGAGTAGATGACTCCTTCTGATTTTGAGGTCACCGGGTCAAAGGTCAAGGTCAGATGGACTTTGACTTCAAAAAGATTGTCTGCCCATTAACTTAATATTCCTTTGACCCACAGTCTTCATATTTGGCATGGAGGTTGATCATGACTATAAGGTGACCCCTATTGATTTTGAGGTCACTGGGTCAAAGGTCGACTAAAAAAAGCTTTTCCCCTCAATTGCTTAAGAATGCCTGTCCGCAGTGTATTGATTTTGACATTTTCACATTGAAGCATGTAGAGTACATAGCACTGGCTTAGTAACCTCAGATTTGGCAGGGACGTTGTCCTTGAGCTCTAAACAGTTACTGTTGATTCTGACAAAATGGTATGCGGGGGTATTCACGCCATGACAGTGGCAGTTCTAGTTAACTTAGATTTTTTTTTTTGCAAAAAGCATTAGGTGTAACACAACTTGTGATGCTGTTGCTTAAATTCTTTGGTATAATTCAAATCTCTTTATTGATACTAAATTGTCATTAAATACTATCAGCATATAACATCTGATAATGTAAGATTTGGAGCATTATTTGAGTCAATAAGTACTTTAAGTAGATAAGTGTTTGTTTAGTGAGCATTAATTCCATTAAATATGTCAAGTGGCTGCACTTCTCTTGACATACTTAATAGAATTTAGTACTGACTGACAAGCACTGCCCTATACACACCTTAAAGATACATAGTCTTAGATATGTTTTATTACTTGGTATTAGAAGATCTTTGTAACTGTTATTATGAATCCCATCAAAGAATAAATATCCCTAGTATATTTCCTGGTTGCTATCTTTAGGCACAATTGAACTCATAACTGAAAATGTACATAATTTCATTATTTTGTATGATACATTAAAATGCAAGTAATTTTTCAATTAATAGGACATGCTGGACTTTCAACAAATTGGCAAGAAGATGGACTTCATTATTTAAATATAAGGAAAACTACAAATATTTTGTTGACAGAATGGAAGCCAGAATATGAAATACTCCCCGACAAACCTCATCATGTAGATATTGCTGGAAAGGTTATATCATAAATAAGAAGATTATAAGGAAACAGGAAAAATCATGTTACATTATAACAAATAAGTATATTTTGTATGATGCCATAAAACAACTGATGTCATCAAGATTCATATGATATCATGAACAAAGCATGATGTCATTACTGTTTGTATAATGTTACCAATCATGTTGTCTGATAATGAACAAAGCATATTAATGTCATCACATTTAGATGATGTCATGAACAAAGCATGATGCCATCACATTATAAATACTTATAATGTCATCATATCTCATTTGTATGTTGTAATATCCATAGTATGATGTCATTGAATTATAATTATATGATGTCATATACAAAGAATGTTGTCAGAATAACAGTATTATGTTTAAAGATTTTTAATTTCCAGTACAAGTTATAATGTAATCTAGAGCACATATTGCATCATTCATATTGCTTCATGTTACACAGTGTTACAAACAGAGTTAAGTGCAAAAATTGTAACTTATTGAGCTTATAAGGAGTAAGTTAAGACAGTCTTGCAATAGTTTAGCTCTGCTTTTAAAAGAATCCGGGACTTTCCTTGTCAGATGCTTTTTGCTGTAGTGTACAATGTACCTTAATATTACAGAATATGTCATTCTGTGCAATAAAAAGATCTTGTTACAAAAATATTTTTTTTAGTTTATTGTTCTCCTTATACATTTATGTGCTTTGTAAATATATACATGTTTCATTTTTTAAAATATTCTTAAAGTTCTTTTACTTTGAAAATTTGGGTTTTCTGTATTATGGATGGGTTTTTTTGTTCGTGAATTTTTTTACAAACTTGATTTTTTGTGAATCCAGAAATATGGTCTATTAATTAAAATTTTATAATGATTTAATTTTAAACCGTTTATCAAAACTTATTTCCACTATGCCTTTATTGAGTTTCAATGGTGAACAAGTTTATTTTTTTTGCTGTCACTTTGAGTTGAATTATTAATATATTTCAAAAGATTGACTATTATAATGGTAATTCTTGACCAAAAGTTTATAATGAAAAATGTTCAGGACAAACTATAAAAACCACCTGAATTATAAAAAGATAATGCTTGCTTTTTTAAAAATTGAAAGTTACTGAAAATTTCTAAAAAATATTTATAGAAACATTCATTACTCAAGTGGATTATTGATTATTTTTGAATTGTAAAATATAGAATTGAACACAGTTACGGCATAATGTAAAGTTACTTTGACTTTTAGTTTTAACTGTTAACGCAACGTTGGGCATGTCACTTAAGTTATTTATATTTTGTGCAAAGCAGACAAATTTTACCTTAAACATTGCTTTTTTATAAAAATTGTTGAACCGGATAAAGATTTTTAAGTTTGATACATGACTGCACATTGAACAATCTGTATTTATCTATGATAGAATTGATAATACACTGGGTTTGAGTATGCTAATTAAATATCAAATTGTGTAGGGGTATTTATTCATAAAACGTGGTTGTGTTACTTGTAATACTAGTATATGCATATGAGCCGCGTCATGACACACTGATCAGGATCCATGCTGTTCGCTTACCAACCCTATTACAAGTTGTGAAACTGATAGCAAACAGCATGGATCCTGATCAGACTGCGCGGATGCGCAGGCTGGTCTGGATCCATGCTGGTCGCAAACACACATGTTGGTTTTGTCATGACGCGGCTCATATGCGTATACTAGTATTACAAGTAATTACATAGCTCATATTATAAGCAATTTGCCTAAAAATTGTTGATGATTAAGTTTAACTTTTGCCTAGAAATGGTTAAGCGAATGTAATTTTGCCACAAACAAGAATGATTTTAGAGCTGTCAAAGTTAAGAATATTTCTTCATGTAACTATGTACATGGTTGATTCATAATTAAGTTTCATGCCTTTGTTGTTTTTATTAAATCATGAGTGACTTACACAGCTGGTAGTCTTACATGTTGTACCTTGCCGTTTAATCACTTTGTTTTAAAGTAGCATGTCTCCAGATAAGCAAACAAATTTTTCAGAAAATAAAACCGAAGAAAAATGTCAGAATAGTTCGCAAACCTGAATAAATTTGCAATATGTATGTTTCTTTTGGCATATTCCTATCCCATTTACTATGTAGAAAGGGCTATATTTCCATATAATGACATATTTTAGGTAAATAAATGGGGGGAAAATGCCATAGGCCAGTGGTGCACTTGACAACGATGCAAACTCATTATTATTTGTGGGATGGTTATTTCTGTGGTCTGGTCAATCCACAAATTTAAGATCAAAATGAAATTTCAGTCTGCTGTAAGATTATTTTACATTTTACATTTTGCACAAATTATAGAACCTACAAAAAGGTCTTTTGAGACAAAACCATGAATTTTCCTGTCCTCAAAATTAAGTGAATTCACAGTTATTATTCTATGTGATTTTAGCTCATTTTTTCCAATTATCAGCCAGAATCTGGAGGCTTGCTGCTTTATTTTTTTTTCATGCTAGTATGGTAATTTAACCACTTAAATATCAGTGCCAGGCTAACTGTGGTAACCCTATCATTTATAAATGTGTTGACATATCACCACAGTAATACCACAGTAAGTGCAGTAAAGGCTTAACTCCTTATATAATTTTATAGATGTTATCCTGTTATTGCACTAAGGTGATGATATATGTAAAGCCACTGTTTGTTCAGAATATAGGTGATTTTTTGTTGTACTGTGGTAGTTAAATTGCTCTGTTAGCAGTTGACATTGTAGGTGATATTATGTGCACTGGTTATTTTATACACTATAAGTAATCATTATTAGTAATGTCAATTAGTTCAGACCTTATGCTACCAATATATAGATATACATGTATAGGAAGTTTGTCAAAAAACTGTCAGAGATCTGACAAAAAAAACAACCAACAAACTCTTGGGTACTAAGTTTAAAACTTCCAATAATGCCATATTTTTAATTTGACAATTTTGTTTAGTATTCCAAATTCAAAACACAGCTAGTCTTAATTACATGCTAAATTTCTATAAGAAATTTAAGTTTGTGTTATTTACCAGTTATTAATTTTGTAACCTTGAGTTTACAATTGACTGGTTAAAAACAGTGGCAATATTTTTCTTGTGATGGTGATAGGGGTGCTATAATCATAATGTTTATTGTTGTTAGTCTTATAATGTTATTTAATTGATTGTTTTAAATATAAAAACAAGATAATTATACTAATAATGCAGTACTACCCAGGATGTTTTTTGTCCTTAATATTCTTTATCGTCAATTTTTAGCTCACCTGTCACAAAGTGACAGGGTGAGCTTTTGTGATCGCTTTTCGTCCGTCCGTCTGTCGTCCATAAACTTTTACTATAAATGACATCTCCTCATAAACCACTAAGCCAATTTCATCCAAACTTCACAGGAATGTTCCTTTGGTGGTCACCTTTGAAATTGTTCAAAGAATTTAATTCCATGCAGAACTCTGGTTGCCATGGCAACCAAAAGAAAAAACTTTAAATATCTTCTTCTAAAAAACCCATTTGCTAGAGCTTAGATATTTGGCATGAAACATCTTCTAGTGAGTGTTTACCAAGTTTGTTCAAATAAAAGCCCTGGGGTCAAAATTGGCCCCGCCCCAGGGGGGTCATTGATTTTCCCTATATGCATATAGTAAAAACTTAAAAAATCTTCTTTTAAAGAACCCAAAGAGCTAGAGCTAAGATATTTAGCATGAAACATGTTCTAATGGATGTCTACCAAGTTTGTTCAAATAAGAGCTCTGGGGTCAAAATTGGCCCCGTCCCGGGGGTTATTGATTTTCCTTTTATGTGTATAGCAAAAACTTAAAAAATCTTTTTTGAAAAAACCCAAATAGCTAGAGTTTAGATACTAAGCATGAAACATCTTCTAGTGAGTGTCTACAAAGTTTGTTCAAATAAAAGCCCTGGGGTCAAAATTGGCCCCGCCCTGGGGGACATTGATTTTCCTTATATGTGTATAGCAAAAACTTAAAAATCTTCTTTGAAAAACCCGAATAGCTAGAGTTTAGATATGAAGCATGAAGCATTTTCTAGTAAGTGTCTACAAAGATTGTTCAAATAAAAGCCCTGGGGTCAAAACTGCCCCTGCCCCAGGTGAGTCATTGTTTTTAACTATATGTGTAAAGAAAAAAACTTGAAAAAATCTTCTTTTAAAAAACCCAACGAGCTAGACCTTAGATGTTTAGCATGAAACATCTTCTAATGGGTGTCTACCAAGTTTGTTCAAATAAAAGCCCGGGGGTTTAAACCTGTCCTGCCTTGGGGGCCTATATACAGGTGAGCGACTTCAGGGCCATCATGGCCCTCTTGTTTTTAATTTGCCTTGTTTAAAGGCTTAATTTTGTGGCAATAGCTATGCTTGTGGTTTTTATTTGTTGATTGTGTTGATTGTTTTTATTATATGTTGCTGTTTATTTTACTTTACATGTTGTGTTATTTAGTAATATGTGTTTACTGTAAAAATGCCTATATAGCTGCCAGTAGCATATTTAGAATTGTTTCTCATTTCTGTATGTGTATTTTGAGATGATGTCTTTGTTAATATGATGTTTTGAATTATTGTAAATTTTCATTTTTAAATGACATGATGATATAATAATATTATATCATACTATTAATAGTGTAGCAAGTCTTTTATCTTTGAACGCATGAAAAGTTTTTAAATGTTTCATGATATTAAAGGGTCTCCACTGAGGTTTTTTCACATGATGAGACTGGAAATAATTTCTAAGATGAATTTTCCTTTATATGTAGTTCCACACATATCCACAACTTGCATACAAAATTTCAGATCATTCATTCTCTCCGTTTTTTTCAGAATGATTATTCTAATTGTGAAATTGATCCAAAATTAAAAAGCGTTTGAACAATTTTCACTAAAATCTGGCTAGGAAAAGCAGAAAAATATGATTGTCAATTTATTTCAGAGTATATTTAGAAACTAACAAAGGGAAAGTTTTCTTATGCATTTGAATTAACTGTTTTAAAAAGTAACTTGAAGTGAGTTACTTTGAGCTTTTATAAAAAATTAAGAAATGATTATGTTTGAAATTACAAATTCATATTAAAATGAAGGTGAGATTATTTTAATCATTTATTAAAATGAAAAAGGAAAGAAAACAAAATCTGTTTCTATCTAGTATAATGTACCATAGATATTTGACTGCATTACTCTACATTACAGTATTTGTTGTTATTTTACAAGTTTTACAAAGAAAAAAAAACTTTGTAGTATTTTACATTTTAAAAAAGACAACTACAAAAACTTTTTGCTTTATAAAATGTTTTCGCTTTTGTGTATTTTAGCAGTTGATATGAATTTTTAATTGTGTATTTTCGAATTCTGTTTTTTAACTTTATCTTTTGCATCCTCAAAAGTACCTAAGATTTTATTATCCCATCTATGCTTACTTTAAAATTAAGACTGTAAATATTTGTATTGTAATTTGTTATTTTATTTGCTTTGGGCATTGTATAGGAAACTGTGTAAGAATTTTAAAATGATTTACAAATTCAGATTATCATGCTGTTGTGCATAAGTTTACGTAAGGGTCTTGGTTTTACTCTGGTGCACATTTGTGCCTGAAATATTGCACGTTTGTGCCTGAAATATTGCACATGTTGTGCCTGAAATAATTCACAGAGGGGCACCTGAGGTCTTCCACCACCACAAAGGCTTGAAA